GATCAGAAGGCGGTGCACGTTCAAAGAAGTAAGGTAAGCATCCATCTTTTGAAGATATCTTTCAATGTATATGTAGGCAACAACTAAGCAAGGAGTGCCACAACATGTGTACTTTGAGATACGATCAATATATTGTCCAATGCCCATGGTCGGTGCTCGGGAACCATGGAAAACCGTAACGTTGTCTTTCGTTTTGAGTTTTTTCAATAACTTTTCATTTTTCTGAATCGACCTCTCGAAAACAGAGGAAAGAATCGACAACACTCGAGGTGAGCTCGGTATAGGCTTCCCAGATTCACCCAGTCCACGAGGTGAATCTGTTTCTGCTAGAAAATCAATGTCACCGTCTGCCATTTTTCTTATGTTCATCAAGATCTGCACAATACAAAACAAACTTAATCACTCTAATTCATACAGAATCACCGGTGAATGTTAAAAAAACAATCTAATAATACAGGTGGGTCCCATCCAAATCTGATAATAAAATAGATTATTGTAAGGTATATACATTATTTTCCTACAGATTCAGAAGCTATGTTGTAAAGCCTTATATATTTCTCTAAAACATGTTTAGAAACTTGAATTATAGAGATATGGAAGAAAATGACAAACGATCAGCATCGTTTTTGGCCGTTCGGTGCAGAAGCAAGAGCGTTTTGTAGGGAAATGAACGAAATGCCTCGTCGCCACCAATTGATTCAAAGATTTCTTAGAGAATAGAAGGGGAAAAAAATTTGATTTGGTTTCTGAATCTGAAATGTGCAGACCCACAGACAGGGTTGTGTTCTTAGAGATTTAAAGGATTCTAACCGTATCAGTCAAGAAAACTCCTCGTTTAAGGATATTGAACGCTAAAGCAATAGCATATGAACAATTCATTCATTCCACCAGAAATCATCAAAAACTCACAAGGAAAAGAATCTAAATCTTACCCAGATGATCGAAATCAAGTTCTCCAATACTTCGAAGAACGAAGCGGGGGCGATCTCAAAGGAAATCAGAGGAAAACTGCATATGAAAGTGGCTCAAAGACCCTGAGGAGGCCAGTTTTGGGCAAAGATAGGGAAGAAAGAGGACATATAATGTCTGAAATGCATCAGAAAAAACGAGGCTTGCAATTTAGATCTTCTTGAATAACCTTCTCAATGTTCATTGCTTGAGCATTCTTGACTTGTACAAGCAGAAAAGCTAGGCAGTTCCTCATGAGCAGAGAAAGAAAAAGTTGGTTTCAAAACCTGTTTATTCATAACTTTGGCCTGTAGACAGCAGTTTCTCATGATTCTGGTTCGGTTCATACCTTAGGAATATGAATAAAGTAGCTTTAGTCTATTTTTATTCTTTCCTTTCAGACATAGTCATCAAGGACAAATAGTTTATGCCATTTGGGTCCATTCGAGTGCAAATTTTCAAGGTTTCAAATTGTTAGGAATCACGAATCTCCAGGATGGTGTAACCGATGATCATTCCCTTAATTAGCCAATGTAGGATTCCCTTTAAATAATCCTCAACAATCCTCCCCTCGAACAAAGTACACCATAAAGCCTCCCCTGAGGCCTATAGAGCCCTCGAACAGCCTCCCCTTAATCGATACTTGACTCCTTTCTCTAGAGTCCTCGAACAAAGTACACCCTTTGTTCGACACTTTTTTTACTACATCTTCGAGACTCACTACTTCTTTGTTCGACACTTGAGGATTCTATTGGCATGGCTAAGTTAAGGGTGTGAATTTGATACCAATGTTTGCTTTTAGTTTCTCCAAAAGGTCTTATACCAATGGAGATGTATTATTTACTTATAAATTCATGATCATTCCCTTAATTAGTTGATACGGGACTCTCTCCCAACAATTCTCAATCCTCGAGACAAATCACAATGTGAAAGTGTTAAGCATTTGGAGCACTCTTCTAGCAAATCCCTATTGGTATATGCAACACAGAGAGAAAATAAAGCAGAGCATAGAGATTCCATTCCTCCATCAGAATGTTAAAGTGAAAAGCACAGATCAATGATGAACCAATGGGATTTTGTTTGGCAGGCCAAAAACTCCAAGAAAATCACATAAAGCTATAAAGTTCCCTTTTCCATAGCAGTAATTTGCAGGATCTTACCTTCTGGGGACCCCAAATTTGAAACAAAATGTGGGGAAAATCATTACAAAACCGAAAGTGGGATGCAAAATTCAAATCCAGAAGACAGAAATCATCAATAAGAATCATCGCATTGCTTCGTTTTTTAAACATATTGATCGCAATCAGACAGAACGCATTTGGATCTTGAAATGCGGAACGAAGAACTTACTTACAGATCGATGGATTCTGAGCTTTCTGATCGATCTTTGACGGTTTGGCCTTGAAGAGCTTGGCGCCAAAAAGTGGAGAATCTTGTTTTTGGCTTCGATCGAAATGCAGAGAAAAGGTTTAAAGATTCCATGGAAATGGGTGAGGGAGGTTGATTGTAGAAGTGGTGTTGGGCAGAGGAATTTTGTTTGTTTGCCCAGAAAATTTGGTGGAAAACAAACATTTTCACATGAAAAAGAATCGGGTGGAATGGAAAGTCTTTGGGTTTGATGGGTTTGTTTGGGTTTTCGAGTGTAGCGCAAGAAATGGGGTTTTCTTTGAGCAAAAGCATTACATGTTCATCAAATCAGTTATGGGTCCGACTCTATTGGTTTTTGTAGCCTTTTTCTCCGTGAGCTGGACACTGCGCTCCAAAATGGTGGATTGTGAGATCTCATGTCGGTTGAGGAGGGAAACGAAAGGTAACGACCCAAGTGGATATTGTCCTTTTTGGGTTTTTCCTTACGAGCTTCCCACGAGGCTTTAAAATGCGTCTGCTAGAGAAAAGTTTCCACATCCTCATAAATTGTTTTGTTCTGGGCTTGGGGCGTTACAAATGATATCAGAGCTAGACACCGGACGATGTGCAGCCTTCTCGCTGTTTCTCGAAGGGGGGTAGACACGAGACGGTGTGCCAGTAAGGACGCTGGGCTCCAAAAGGGTGGATTGTGGGATCTCATGTCGGTTGGGGAGGAAAAGGATATGTAACGACTCAAGCACACCGCTAGCAGATATTGTCCTCTTTGGGCTTTTCCTTACGGGCTTCCCTCGAGGCTTTAAAACGCGTCTGCTAGGGGAAGGTTTTCACACCCTTATAAATGATGTTTTGTTCTGGGCTTGGGGCGTTATAAATGGTATCAGACTTAGACACTGGACGATGTGCTAGCCTTCTCGCTGTTCCCCGAAGGAGGGTAGACATGAGGCAGTATGCCAGTAAGGACGCTGGGACCCGAAAGGGAGTGGATTTGGTGGTGGTCTCACATCGATTGAAGAAAGAAACGAGTGTCAGCAAGGACGCTGGCCCCAAAGGGGGTGGATTGTGATGTTCCACATTGGTTGGGGAGGAGAACAAAACACCATTTATAAGTGTGTGGAAACCTTCCCCTATCAGACTATTTTAAAGTGTTGGGAAGAAACCCGTAAGGGAAAGCCCAATATCTGCTAGCAGTGTGCCTGGGTCGTTAAACGAAACATTCTTTTATAAGGTGTGGAAACCTCTTGCTCGTAGATATTGTTTGCTTTAGCCTGTTATGTAGTGTCGTTAGTTTCACGCGTTAGGGAGAGGTTTCTACGCCTTTATAAGGAATATATTGTTCTCCGGTTTCTACATTTTTATAAGAAATGCATCGTTCTCCCCTCTAACCGATGTGAGATCTCACAATCCACCCCCCGAGCCTAGTATCCTTGTTGGCACACAGTTCAATTAATAAATTAGCTTAAAATGTGGGATCTCACAATCCACCCCCGAGCCTAGCATCCTCGCTGGCACACAGCTCGGTTAATAAATTAACTTAAAATCGTTTTTTTTTTCTTTTTTTCTAAACCTTCCATTTTGAAAATTTATAAAATAATAAACAAAAATATTTAATGTACGGATGAGTAAAAAAATCCAATAATATTGTAATAAAGAACTTTGACCATATGACTACAAATTAAAGAACCAAAATAATTTATAGGTATGACCTCCCATATTGATTTTACATATATTTATGGCCAATTTTTTTTTTTAAAATTATTATAGTTAAGTTGCTCGTGTCATTTTATGTCGTGAATCGATCTTTTTTTAGTGGTGTATATGGGTTAGATTAGGTCGGAGAAATCTTTTGAACTATCTCGAAATTTCAGGTTGATTTGGTCGGTGACTCGAGCAACGTGAATAAAGTTTACAACCCAATCTAACCCTCAATTTTTCAGAAATCAAACTCAAAATTTCGTGTTGGTTTGGTTGGTGACCCGATCATGATTTTTTAGAAAAAATTATATTTATCGGCAATATATGATACATTAATAACTAAAATATTATAAAATTCACATATCAAATATTCACAAGTTAGAGTGAATCACTAACATCGGTTACAAATGTCAAATATTTTTAATGTCCGTAATAATATTAAAAATAAGGTAGGTTAGAGTTGGGTTGGATTGTAACCCAAGTCTCAAGTTAATTAAGTTGATCGAGTTGACAAAAAAAAAAAAAAGTCAACTCACAAGTTGACCCAAATATTCGATTTTCAAAAAATTCAACTCAATAGGAGGTACGAATATATGAAATATTATGATTAAAAATACATAATATTATCAACTTGAACATAGCTCAATTAGTCAGTATTTAGTCAGTGTATATGCGATTAAAGATTAAAAGTTCAAATTTTCGACCGTTATTAATGATTAAAATTATAAATATTTTTAGAAAAACAATAATGGTTGAAATTATATATATATATATATATATATATATATATATATATATATTTATAACTTAATTAATTAAATTATTCAAAATTTTAATTATGTAATTTATTTAAATGATGGAATCTTTAGAAAATAAAAATTGTTTTTTAGACTGATTCCTTCGCAATTAAGAACGGCACTGTCGGCTTTTATTTATTTATTTTTAATTTTATTATTTATTTGAATGTTTTTATTTTAATTCATTTCCTTTTTTTGAAAATCTCTCTCCACTTTCGTTTCCCTCCTCTCTCTCTCTCTCTCTAGATTCTGATTTTCTTGCCGACCGCCATTAATCGGAAACTCTCCTTTTTCCCTGTTCTTCGCAGATTCTTCATTCCCTCAATCTCTCCCGATCACTCAAATGCAAGATATCTTTGCTTCTGTTCGCCGATCATTGGTGTTTCGTGCTCCTGTTGAGAATGAGGATTCGCATTCTCCTGCAATTGGAGTTGGAGCCCTAGTTGATAAGATTAACTCCAGTATTAGGAAGTCGAGAGTGTTTTCTAGGCACTCGCCATCATCGTCGGCTTATCCTCCGATTCTCAAGGAAACTGAGCCTCCGATTCGATGGCGCAAGGGCGAGTTGATTGGCTGCGGCGCCTTTGGTCGGGTGTATATGGGCATGAATCTTGGCTCTGGCGAGCTTCTCGCTGTTAAACAGGTTTGCTGGCTTTGGAGTTCGATTTTGGTTTTTTGGTTACCTCTTTGTAATGTTTACTCATCTGTTATTGGTGAATTGTGCTTTTGAAGCTTGCTTTTGAGTTTCCATTTCTCTTGATTGCAACCGATGCTTTCTTTGAGTTCTGATTCGATTTTGGATTTTCTTCGTTTTCTTTTGTTGTTTCACCCATTCGTACATCTTGTGAAATGATTACTGCATATTGTCGGGTGTAGGATCTCATTTTGACAATTTTCTTCGTTGTTCTCTTTCAGGTTCTGATTGCTGCAAATGGCGCTTCGAAGGAGAAAGCGCAGGTCTTCTTTTTAGTGTGCCTTTCGACAGCTGATTATAATTTTATAATTTTCTAGTTTGGTTGAATTGGTTACTTGTTCTTTCATTACCCCAAACTCTAAGATTGTACTTATACTATAGTCTATATATAGAGATGCATGCATACATAGTTGGTTATCTTGGATCACAGATGACTGACTATATATGGCATTTGCCACTAACCACATTCCTGATGCAGTCACTAAAAATTGTTTGAATTAATTAATTTGAGTTTTTCATTGATATGAGTTAGATACTTGAAAGTTATAATCTTCCTTTTTGTGTTGGTTAATATGATTTTTAAACAAGGCTTCATTGTTTTCATCTTTATTTTTTAATCTCGTGCTTCATAATATTAAGTTTTTATTGTTTTTACATATTATGTGGCTCGCTGTTAAGCTCCACAAGTCTTTAGAAATTTGTTGGCTGCTTAATGAATATTATATTAGTATGATTTATGAGGAATTACGAAATTTTTCAAATAGAACTGAAAAATGAGAAACAGCAAGAAATTTTGAACAAGTTGATGCATATTTCATATCTAAATGACCTTTATTTGTCAATTTTGAGTAGTTTTTGTTGCAACCAGGCTCATGTTAAGGAGCTTGAGGAAGAAGTGAAACTTCTCAAGGATCTTTCTCATCCAAATATTGTTGTGAGTATGGCCTTCTCTTCCATTTATATAAAGAAGCCCATTACTTTTCCCACTGAATACATTGTGTTGTTTCTTAGAGATATTTGGGCACGGTTAGGGAGGATGATTCTGTAAATATATTATTGGAATTTGTCCCTGGTGGATCAATATCATCTCTTTTGGGGAAATTTGGAGCCTTCCCTGAAGCAGTAAGTTATTCTATATTCTACTTTGATCATTCTAGCGTCAGAGCATTGAATGTCTAATCCTTTATACGTACTGTATGTAGGTTATAAGAACATATACCAAACAGTTATTACTGGGACTGGAATACTTGCACAAGAATGGTATCATGCACAGGGACATTAAGGTCGGTGTTAGTTATGATCATTATTATTTGCAGACAATTTTCTCATTCCCCTGTGTCAGTTATAAATATGTCGTGTCTCTTGTATTCTATTGCAGGGGGCGAATATTCTTGTAGATAACAAGGGATGCATTAAGCTTGCTGATTTTGGTGCATCGAAACAGGTTGTCGAGCTGGTAAAGTCAACGATCCTTGACTTTTATTTGGTTTGAAAGCTATCTGCCTTCTGATCAAGATTCCATTGTTGTAGGCTACAATTTCAGGTGCAAAGTCTATGAAGGGTACTCCATATTGGATGGCTCCTGAAGTAATTCTGCAGACTGGGCATAGTTTGTAAGAACTGACTGAAGTCAAACTCTACTTAGAATCTACATTCTCTTCGGAATATTTGATATCAATCATTAACTTTTAAATGTTGATTTCAATTTTTTTTGACAAAAAATTTCGAAGCAAATATATTTTTAGTCAATAAAGCAGGTTCGAGCTCAGTTATGACCGAATTTTGATAGTTGTTCTTTTAGAGAATCAAATATGTAGTAAACAAATAATTGGTCTTATGTAGCCTTGCCTTTGACTAAATATTAATTTGATGAGATGGATGATCGTAAGTATGTGATAATTATTCCTAGCTCTGCGGATATATGGAGTGTTGGATGCACTGTTATTGAGATGGCTACAGGAAAGCCTCCTTGGAGCCAACAGTATCAAGAGGTATCTTATTACTTGAAGATGTTTGAATGGTGGTGGATTAAATCATTCTTGTAAAGTGAACTAACAATACATTTCTTTTAGGTTGCTGCTCTTTTTCATATAGGCACAACAAAGTCTCATCCACCAATCCCTGAGCAGCTTTCTGTTGAAGCTAAAGATTTTCTGTTGAAATGTTTGCAGAAGTACGTTTCATTTCTTTGCATTTCTAACCCTGATCTTAAGAAAACTAATCATATGTTAACAATGGTCCAACTTTGAGATTCGTTTGAAATATTTTTCTTTAGCTCCTCTTTGACACTATTTCTTATGGGAAGTCAAATTGATGTGGGCCAAATTGCAGGGAACCCAACTTAAGACCAGCTGCATCTGAACTCCTGAAGGTGATTTTTTACTTGATTAATATTTTTGTTTTACTCGACAAGAACAAATTGTCAGATGCATAGACTGACAGAAATAGTGCCAAAGGAGCGATAGTTTTAACTATCATCTAACCGTCCGGCTTTGTTGTGTGCAGCATCCTTTTGTTACTGGGGAGGACCCAGAATCTCTACTTGTATCACGTGATGCATGCACGGTTAGAGGATTAAAGAATCAGAATAATTTATTCATGATTATTTGTCTTCCTGTTTGTAACGGTAAATTTGCCATCTTCAGGAGCCCTTGGATACCCATTCACTTTTATATACCTCAAACCTTGAAATGAGGTGAATTTAAAAATTCAGCGACTGGAAGAATTGTGCATTCACCTGCTTGCAATATTAAGGTTTTTCACATTTTTTTTTCTTGACAGCAAAACTCCAACGCATCCTGGATCAAGTGATATTTGTAATTTGGATAGTCTGAGCTGCTCAAAACTATACACCGCAAACAAACTAGAAAATGATACGTGGGGAACAAACAGTGATAATGAAATGTGTCAGGTTGATGACAATGATGATTTTATGTTAGATGAAGTAAAACTCAGGTCTTCTATGACATCTGGGAATTTCAAGGTGAGGAAAATGTTTGGATCCATTTTCAGTTCTCCGTCCAGAGATCTCTGGAAATTAACTTCACTTTTTTTTTCTTTCTTTTTTTTGGGTGGGGTGGGGGTGGTTTATATAGAGTTATAACCCAATCTGTGAGCCGTCGGATGACGAGGACTGCAAATTTGATCAAAGTTCAGTAGTAAAGCAAGGAAGCGATTTAGATGAGCAAACTCTAGCACCTGGCAGCTGTTCTGAAGTTTTTGATGATGACCAAAACTTCTCATTTCCTAGTGGACGATCACTTTCTGAAGATGAGGATGAGCTTACTGAATCAAAAATTAAAGCATTCTTGGATAAGAAGGTTTGGATTTTCAGTTTGAAATAGCAACTAGTTCGTCTTTCTAATTATCCCCTTTGCAGTTTTATTAAATGAACCTGTTTGATCTAAATTTTTGTACATGATTTCAATGCCTCAGGCTCTTGAATTGAAGAAACTGCAGTCACCACTATATGAGGAGTTTTACAATAGTTTGAATGGATCCTGCTCTCCAGTTTTTGTAGAGAGTAAACAAGATGAAACTACTCCTAAATACTTGAAATTGCCCCCAAAAAGTCGGTCACCAAGTCGAAGTCCCGGTCATCTATCCCCAGCATTCGATGCCTTCGGCACTGGGACTCCAGGGAGTGATAGCAGCAGCAGGGGTAATGCAAATGATCAGAGGTCACAACTCAATGATTGGAAAGGACTTCTAGTTGATGGTCAGCCAGAAGCTGGTAGTCCAAGGTTTGAATTTTGGATGTTCTTTTAGCAGGCTTAGTATCATTAACATCTGTAGCATTCTTGATACCTTGGTGAGTAACATGTTTTCTCATCTAGCAGTAAACACTATTCTGAAATACAGAGGAAGTGGAAAGAAGAGCTTGATCAAGAGCTCGAGAGGAAACGAGGTAAATAACTATTCTTTATGCCTTAAATAAGAAGATAGCAATCATACGACCAATGCCTTTATAGGAGTCTGAAAAATATATGGTAGATATTTATATATAGTAGGTGGTTATATCTGATAAAGCTATATATAGTAAACTGAAACCATATATATACCCCTATACCCCTTAGGTAGTGATTGAAGATATATTTTTTTCTATTCTCTGTATTTTCTCTGTACGAAGTCATTAATACAAAAACGTCCTTACATTTTCTTTCTCCTATTTCTTTGTGTTCATCTAGATCGATTGTGTGCGTTGTTGTGCGATCTTAACAATTATTACATATGACTATGCAACTGTCTTGTTTACAGAGATGATGCGTCAAGCTGGCACGGGAGGCAAAACGTCATCTCCAAAGGATAAAGCCATCAGCAGGCCGAGAGAGCGAACACGATTTGCATCTCCATTCCGGTAGATATCTACGTTTCATTTCGTCTTTACACAGTATGTAATTCTACCATGGCAATATGCATGATGTGACGAACTGTTGACAGGGACGACGCGTCGGGTGCAGGGAGGGAAAACAGGAAAAATTCATCTCCCGAGGAAGTGAGGAAAGATTAGCATAGCTTCAAACTACTTCAGCTGAGTTTCTCTTCTCATTTGTCCTTCCCTCTGCAGTCCTTGTGGAGTGTATGAAGTGAAGAAGCCCCCTAACTGGGTAAGAAGCACGATCATGATCAGATTCTCAATGAAAGGGGAAAAAAGAGGACAAAATGAGGTATTTGCTAAATCACCTGTCTTTGTTCTTTGTTCTTTTAAAGGATGCATGTTTTACAATTTTGTATCCAGTGGTGAATAGAGAAGTGTATGATTATTAGTGTGTACAATATTATATGGTTTGATGCTATAAAAGTGGCACAGGTTTTCCTGTCCAAGTCTGTGTATCATTTTTCCTCGTGTAATTCTCTCATCAAACAACACAAACAAAACGTTGTTTGATTTTACTACACATTTTGTAAAAGGGTCATTCGTTTTTCTAAGTGACCAAAACTTGCCTTTTTGTCAAGCAAAGAAGAGTTGTTTTTGAGCAACTACTGTGGACACTATGAACGTTGAGAAATATCAAACTAAATGATGTTTGATTTGTGTTAAATTCTCATTATCTTTTGTATCTAGGAATGTTTTTCATTTTTTTTCCACGAATCTATTAAACATAAAATTGATGTGATAGGGTAATAAATTATAAGTTGTGTTCAATAGATTTGTAAGTTAAAAAAAAAATCGAATAAATAAAGTAGAAAATTTATACGCATATTAGAAGCATTTTTTAAAATTCATGAACTATTAATTACTTAATTGACACAAACTTATAAGTTTAAACACTGAATTTGTAATTTAATCTTTGTTTGTTTTAAAATTGATCATAAACTTGTGAGGTTGTGACCCTAAATAAATATCAAAATGAATCAAGATTCGGTATTGAGATCGAAAATTAAATATATGAGATCTCATATTGATTGGAGAGAAGAATTAGTACCAACGAGCAAACTAGGCCCGAGGTAGATTGTGAGATACTGAAGGGAGGTAGATTGTGAGATCTGAAGGGAGGTAGATTGCGAGATCTCACATAGATTGGGGAGGGGAACAAGTCCCGAGTAGATTGTGAGATCCCCATAGAGAACAAAGCACTCCGTATAAGAGTGTGAAAGTCTTTCCTTAGTAGACGCATTTTAAAAATCTTGATGGAAAACTCGAAAGGGAAAGTCCAAAGAAGACAATATCTGCTAACAGTGGACTTGGACCGTTACAAATTATCATATCAAAATGAATTATGATATCTACTGTTCAGTTTGAGATGACACTAATGGTTAGATATCTAGAACGTTAAGTTGCATGCATAAGCTTGAATATGGTGTTCAACAACCCTTTGGTGCACCAAATCCTATTGAGAGAGGTTGTAAATGATCAACGAGATGTGATGTCTTTATACATACAAGGTTAGTACCATACTTACGTTCTCAAAAGATGAATTGCTCGAATCAAACGCGTCGGTGATCGTTGGGTACATGTCGGTGAAGGACCGAGCAACACAAACGCTCAGAGGAAGTAGAGGAAGGAGAGAAAGAGGAATCCTTCACAGCATTGCCTCCAAAAGGACATGGAAACAAAACAGTAAATTTCTGATCTCTAAAGTATAAAGAGTACAAATCTAAACTTGACTTTGTGTTTCTTGAGACTTCATTTGGTAAGCCAGAAGCATACAATTTAGCTGTAAACACCCTATAAAAAGAATTGTTATTATAGTAGTAATCACAGAGAACATGCTGTAGAGAAGAAACAGACCAGTTGTACCATAATGCTGAAGACGATATCGTCATTGGAACTTGCTCGGTAGGAGATCGCGACGGGGTCGGTATTAAAGATGGCCTACTGCAAGTTTTGAGCGATAGGACTCCACATTTGATGGCTTTCTTTGCAGAGCAGTGGGAAGGTGGTCGAGACGAAGGCTGTATATCGTCATTGGAACTCCGTAGAGGAAAGTCGAGACGGTATTAAAGATGGCCTCCTGAAGTTTCTCAGCTCTCTCCACTTGAGAGGACTCCACACTACTGGTTTTCTTTGCAATGCAATAACTTTGGGGACACCTTGAGTTGGAGGGCTCCCCATGAACTTGCTGCTACTGCTCCTCATGGCAATTGGTGTTGCCTCTACTGATGCTTGGAACTCTGGTAATGGAGAGAACAACTTTGAGTATCGTGCTTTCCTTGTTGCAAATTCTTGTGGCCCCAAAGTGTGAAGTGGTGTTGTCATGTGAGAGTTCAGCTCCGGACGAAGCGTAGCCATTGAAACCCGCCTCTTGGGTTGAAAAACCTGCGTCGTTGTCGTTGTCGTCGTTGTTGTTGGAGTTGGTCTAACAGCAAGTGAACGTCGTCTTGGTACCAGTAGGCTTCTTGTGTTTGCTGCTGCAGTTGTCATCATTCTGTGGCCATTTTCTTTGCCTTCTGTTAGAGGAGGAGGAGCAGTATTTATGAACGACGAGACACGCCTTTTCTTGGATGGTACGGGGGACGACGTCATAGGTGGCGGCATGAAATTGGTTATCTTTCTTAGGGGTAGCCTTAGTTTAGAAGGACCTAATGGTGGCTTCTTTTCTGTAACAGTTTTGGGAGCTGCCAACTTTGGAAGAGAGGCAGCGGTAGAAGTAGCAGCAAGAGCTCTACTTTCCTGTTTTAGTCTGGCTTTCCTCTCATCTGCTAGTTGACTCTCGAGATCTCGAACCTGTTCGTACAAAGCCAATAACGAAAATCTTTTCTTCATAGCGAAAATCTTGTAAAAAAATTGTGTAAGAACTTAAAAATCTTGTAGATTTATTACAAGAACATGGTTAGAAACTTAAATCTATTACCTTCTCTTGAAGATTCCTGCAATTATGTTCCTTAGCAGTGAGTCTCAACTGCAACGATTGCACATTATCTTGTAACTTCTTCATTTCCTTCTCGTCATGCTTGGATTTTTCTGCCTGTATGTTAAAAAAACTTGTTAAGAACAAGGTCAAAGCACTGAAAGAACCAAACTTTCCCGTGTTTGGATACCATTTGCTTGAACTTGAACAGATCTGTGAGATCTGTCTGTTTGCGAGCAGGGGCGTTCTCGATCCCTCGAACTCGACTAGCGAAATTCAACGAGCAGAGTGTCTCTCCAACGTCCGCTGAACTTGGACTAACCTGTACAAACATCAGGGTTTTGCAATCTCCTCCTGCACATAGAACTTAATGTCATACCAGAGAGACCACTAATTTAACTCAGGATGAAGCTTCACAGTAAAGAATAAGGATCAAAGTATTAAGGCAATGAAGCCCACCTAATGAACTTTGCAGCAAATGAGTGAGTTTAGAGTTTCTGTTACAAGAAAAGTAAATAAAACTCAGTCAGATATAACCGAGAGCGGAAATGAGAGAGTTGGATGAGAAATAAGAGAGTTGGATGGAGAAATGCCTGTAAGGAACGTGAGCGGTTTTAGAGGCAAGGGCGAAGATGACATCACCGAGAGCGGAAAGTGATTTATTAATGAACTGAGATTCCTTTAATCTTTCGCCATCAACGTCAATCCTCCCCACGCGCTCGCTACCAGCCAAGTCGACCAGCCAAAGATGACTCTTTGTCCTCTGTCCATTTATAAGACTCTCGCCCTTGACAGTGACTCGCAACAAGCTACATGATGCAATGGTAATTGTTGAATCATCTTGTAAGAACAAAATTTACTTGACAAATGCTGTTAAAGAAAGATCTGGCACACAAAAAGTGTATCTATTTATTGTAGAACATGTTTTTCAAGGTAAAAACATGGTGTTTGGACAAGAACTTTACCAGTGGGATCGGCTGCTTAGCTCATTCGCGCTGGTAGATCCAACAGATCTTGCCCGGCCGCCAGACTTGAGTAGTTCCCACACTTCTTCAGTTCCATAAACTTGAGCTTCAACCAATCCAGGGACTTCCTGTGTTCCTTCTGCTGCTTGCTTAATCTCCAACCTTAAAACGTACCACATATATTAACAATCTCTTCCAATATTTTTAACATTATTAATGTGTTTCATTTGAAGTGGTCATTAGTTGATTTTTCAAGTCTAGTAGAAGAAATCTCGCAATCAAACAAATAACAAGTATCTTAGAAGACTAATGCAAGCATGAGCTTAATATGATAATTAAATCTTTGGAGCCATTCAACCCGCAGATATTGTCCTCTTTGGACTTTTCCTTTCGGGCTTACTCTCAAAGTTTTTAAAACGCGTGTACTAGGGAGAGGTTCCCACACCCTTATAAAGAATGTTTCATTCTCCTCTCCAACCGATGTGGGATCTCACAATCCAACCCCCCTTCAAGGTCCGGCATCCTTACTGGCACTCGTTCATCCTCGCTGACACACTGCCCAGTGTCCACCCCCCATCAAGGACCAACGTTCTCGCTGGCACACCACTCGGTATCTACCTCTGATACTATTTGTAACAGCGTAAGCCCACCACTAGCAAATATTGTCGTCGTTGGGCTTTCCCTTTCGAGATTCCCCTCAAGATTTTTAAAACGTGTCTACTAGGGAGAGGTTTCTACACCCTTTGTAAAAAATGTTTCGTTTTCCTCTCCAACGTGGGATCTCACAATCACCGTATCCAAATATTCCATGAAAAATTATCAGAAATAGAAAAACAAAAACTCACTTCTTCAGATTTGGATTGCAGTTGTCAGCCAAGAGGTCCCTTATCTTCTCATTATAAACCTCCAACATGCTGACATACAATTCATATTTCATAACACCATCTCTCTCTTCGGAAATCTTGAACAGTTCCTTCAGAGTCCGGTAGTTGACTCCTCTGTTTTCAGGCGTTCCCTCCATAGTAAATGTCTTCCCCGTTCCAGTTTGTCCATAAGCAAATATGCAGACATTATACCCATCCATCACTGAAGCTACAACAGGCTTAGCTTGACCGAAAACAGTTTCTACACATTTTGAAAACTTATCATCAATATATGGATTAAGAATTTACAGTAACTTCAAAATTAGCCACTAATTCTTACAATTACCTTGGCCATCCTCTGTCTTGAACACATGATCAAATTTAAACTGTTTTTTTGAAGAATCAGAAGAAACAACTTGAATCTCATTATCCTGAGATGAATCAAATTCAATCACAGAGGTAGATCCATTGGTCAATTCGCTTTCGTTTAATGGTCTACATCTGCAGAAAACTCTAATATTCCCTTTCAGTTCAATCACTTCATTGTAAAGTCTCTTTCGCTCAGTGACCTCTCCAAGGTATTTCTTCTTTAAAAGTTCATGTTCTGTACCTAAAAGAAAACAAGCAGCCAAGAATTAGTCGCTCAGGAGCGATTAATAAGTCGAAATGATGGAAAGTGGTTGGGTGGTAGAAGAAAGCTACCTAGAAGTTGAAGAGTTTTTACAAATTCAGGGCCTGGAAAAGCATCAGTGTCTAATTTGAATCGTTCAGTTAGGAGCATATGTTCATTCTTCAAATTCTGGAACCAGAAATGAACAAGTGATTCGTCATATCATATATCCTCACAACATAGAGTACAAAAAATGAACTGGTGATGCTAATTGGGAAAAACAAGACTTCAATTACTTCATACCTCTACTTTGTTGCCTAAGTCAATGACCTTTTGAAGGATTGGAAGTATTTGCGCTCCATCTGGTGATGCTAATTGGGATTCATCGCTAGATAATCCGCTCTCCATCTTATCCGCATGTTCAAAAGATTCTCTCACAGCAATGTCTGGACAACTGAGAACTTTAGTGAAAATACTACCAAACAGTAGGATCAAACAAGTTTACAGAAAAGATCATCATAAACATTTGAATTGGTCGTGAAGATAGCCACTCCTTTCAATCCTCAGTTTCCAAACCGAAATCAAGATAAACACAGATGATGGTGTGCAATTAGGAAATTAGCAGGAAGAAACATACAAAGAAAAACAAAAACGGCTCCACAATAGAAAATCCTAATGCTCTAACTGAATGTAAATAGGTCAACTTGATTTCTAATAAAAAGAACGAAAACAAAGCCATGGATTCCGGGTCGAAACAGATCCATGAAAACGAACATTCTTTTCACATCGAGACCAAGAAAGAATCGTTGAAAATTGAATAATTAACGAACCTGAACCGAATAATGAAGGCAGAGGCCTCGGATCACAACTAGGAACAACCGGAGGGCATAATTCTGATGCGAATTCCACCGTTGCATCTGAAATTTAAACAATAACTCCTCAAATTAAGAAATCAATCAAATCAACAAACAAATCCGCTCCTGTCCCCCACAAAATCCCGCCCCAAAGAGAGAAAGGGTACCATCCATGGATTCAAAGAGAATGAGGACGTGAAATTTCGAGAGAAATGCCAAGAATTTTGATGAAGAAGCAGAAGAAGTAGCAGAGCTGAGTGGAGAGAGAGAGAGAGAGAGAGAGAGAGAGAGCAACGGTCAAGTAGGGTTTGAGACTGAATTCGGAGAGATTTCAAATGGCTACCGACGCTGTTTCAAACGGCTATATATTATTTAAAATGACGTTTTCGGAGCTCCGCTTTTTTCAAATCCGACCCAACGGAGCCCCGACTCATTTGAATTATTATTGTTATTTTTTCAATTGAATTATTATTATTATTATTATTATTTTGGTGGTTCGAACCTCAAATCTCATGGTGGAAGAGACCGATTTTATGCTCCGAATTTCAATATACTTATATTCACCCCGGACAAATGTGTTCAAGCTTTCCCCGTCCTTTCGTTTACCTCCATATAGTTGTTGGATGAAAGTCGTCCCACATCGGCCTCCATATAGCTGTTGGATGAAAGTCCCACATCGGCCTCCATATAGCTGTTGGATGAAAGTCGTCCCACATCGGCCTCCATATAGCTGTTGGATGAAAGTCGTCCCACATCGGCCTCCATATAGCTGTTGGATGAAAGTCCCACATCGGCCTCCATATAGCTGTTGGATGAAAGTCCCACATCGGCCTCCATATAGCTGTTGGATGAAAGTCCCACATCGGCCTCCATATAGTGGTTGGATATGGATTAATTTAAAAAATGATCATGGGTTTATAATCAATGATTACTCTCTCCATTGGAACGAGACATTTTGGAGAAGCCCAAAGTAAAGTCAAGAGAGTTTATGCTCAAAGTAGACAAATAACATACCATTGTGGAGAATAGTTCACCTAACAGTAGCAAGTCTACGTTCCCCCGTTGAACTATGCTTACCAATTATTTATTTTTACTCCCTCTCCCATATAAAAAAATAAATAAAACCTTTTCTTAAAATAATGATTATTCAACTCCTTCGCTCTCACCCTCATCCTATGTTGAGTTCCTGCAAAAATAAAAATAAAAAACCTTAAACACAAATAAATAAATAAACAAATATATATGGTCGAACACGTCTGAAGAGGAGGCGGGCGCTCTATCCATCAAACCCTACCCACTGGAATACTCAATTTCATTAGGGTCGAGGATGGATGAAACCAATCATCATCGCGCAAGCGAAGTCAAGAAACAGACCGCTGCGCAACGACTAGAACTCATGTACGAGGAGTTTTGCGCGTGAGCTACCACTCATGCAGAAAGACCCGCAACTCTCGAAGAGGAAGAGGACACCAACACCAACCGCTCGAATCACTGTAGTAAAACCTCCCTTTACTCGATGGATAGCCCTTATTCAAGAGAAAAAAAAAAGAAGAAATGAGGGAGAAACTATGTATATATATATATATATATATATAATTAGCTTACCTAGAGCCACACCTTAGCATACAAACTATCTTATAGTTAGCTATCGAGCCATTCCACTTAAAATATGTATTTTAATTATAAAATAATAATAATAATTCTATTACAAAACGATCCCCTAAGATATATACAAATCTTAATCTAAAACATTTAAAGAATCGAAATGATCCCATTTGATGGGTAATAAACTAACCCACCGAACTCTAACACATATGTTTCTTTAGAGAACTTAGAAGATATTTTGTCACCTGCATTGGTTTCTTCTTGATTCAGTTCAACACGAGACGGTAAAATCAAGATTTCAATACCAATCGACTCGTTCGGTCGACGTCTTTGGCTCCCTCTTCGGCTTTCTGTATCGATTATTCTCGAATTTTGATTTCACTATAAGAGAATATAGTAAATCTGCCTCTGCTGAATTATCATATGGCACATCCAAGGCACTACACAAACAAAGATGAACTTAAGTCACCAAAAAGCTATGCGGTAAGAACCTATTTTAACGAGAGTACTCTTTCCATTCGGAGCTTCACCCAGCCGAACTAGGCTACTTTTCTAATTAAACTAATAAAGTAAAGGTAAGAACCTTTAATAAATAATATAAATTCAGTATAAAATTCAAGTTTAGAGGGGTTGAGATTTCTAGTCGTAAGGTTTCTGTAACGACCCAGATCCACTGTTAGTGGATATTGTTCTCTTTGGGCTTTTCCTTCTCGAGCTCCCCCTCAAGGCTTTAAAACGCGTCTGCTAGGGAAAGGTTTCCACACCCTTATAAATGGTGGTTTGTTCTCCTCCCCAACCAATGTGGGACATCACAATCTACTCCCCCTTCAGGGCCCGGCGTCCTCGCCGGCACTCTTTCCTTTCTCCAATCGATGTGGGACCGTCCCCAAATCCACCCCCCTTTGGGGCCCAGCGTCCTTACTAGCACACCGCCTCGTGTCTACCCCCTTCAGGGAACGGCGAGAAGGCTGGCACATCGTCCAATGTCTGGCTCTGATATCATTAGTAACGACCTAAATCCACCGCTAGCAAATATTGTCCTCTTTGGGCTTTCCCTTTCGGGCTTCCCCTCAAGGCTTTAAAACGCGTCTTCTAGGGGAAGGTTTCCATACTTTTATAAATGGTGGTTTGTTCTCTTCCCCGACCAATGTGGGACACCACAGTTTCGAACATGAATCTAAGTTGGAATATTTTTGTACCTGTCAAGTAGCTCTTCCAGAATGATTCTTTGCAAAGGTGTTACATAATGTATACAGCTTCTGGGGCATTGGCCAACTGCAATTTGAACCTGATAATCTTCACCGTGTCCTAGTTTATCAAAAGATAAAATCGTCGTAGGAATAACACACATTTCATATGTCACTCGAAATACTGAAATTATAATTGCATATAATCACTCGAACGAACCTTGAGAAGTCGCCCGGGCTGTCCCGGTGGACGAAGCAAAAGTGAAGGCATGGGGAGCTCTGTCTACACACGAATATGGGCAGCCTGCACAATGTTATGACACAACACATGTAGATTGTTGTATTGTAACAAAGAACTTAAATTGTAACATTCATAAGTTGGAGCAAAGATGGTACCTTTTCCAACACAAAGAAACTCATTAACAAAGACATCAAATGCATCACATTCTGGGTTTTCAAAAGGATCTAAACATTCCCTGAGTTCATATGTTTGATTGTGAGAGTTCCATAAAAAATGAACAATAGATATATCATCGAATAATGATAGAAATGAACATTATCAAATTATAAAACGTCAATAATGGACCTTTAATCTCCCTAATATATGGTAAATTTTGAGTAAAAAGTAATTCATTGTTGTTGTAATAGCCCAAGCTCACCGCGGGCAGATCGTCCTCTTTGGGCTTTCCCTTTCAGGCTAGTTTTTAAAACGCATCTGCTAGTGAAAGGTTTCCACACCTATATAAAGGGTCCTTCATTCTCCTCCCGAACCGATGGGATCTCACAATCTACCTCTTAGGGGCCCAGCATCCTGACCGGCACTCGTTCCCTTCTCCAATCAATGTGAGACCCCCCAATCTACCCTCTTCAGGGCCTAGCATCCTTGCTGGCATACTGTCTCGTGCCCACCCCTCTTTGGGGCTCAACCTTCTCACTAGCACATTGCCCCGTATATAGCTCTGATACCATTTGTAACAGCTCAAGCCCACCGCTGACAGATATTGTCCTCTTTGAGCTCTCTCATTCGGGCTTCCCCTCAAGGTGTTTAAAACATGTATGCTAAGGAGAGGTTTCCACACCTATATAAAGTATGCTTCGTTCTCCTCTCCACCTCTCCAACCGAGGTGGGATCTCACAGTTACATATTATCTATAACCTTTCATTTATAAATAAGAATTCCCCTGCACTTTCCAAGAATATGGTCATTACACAATTTATTCTATGATGAATGCTGCAAGAATTTTAAGCAGCTCTATACACATTAAGAACAACACCAAAAGCACAACGATACCTCTCAATGAACTCGGTTCGGCTGCAACTTGACAACATCTGCATATTGTAGAAAGCATAGTGATTGTTGAGTTTCATAATTGACTATAACATAGATGATAGAAGTGAACAAGTTCTTCATCAGAACACAAATAGTTCCAGCTTGTTACAGTCTCTTGTGGTGTCAGCATCGAAACAAGTACTTATGGCTTGAATATTTCATCGTTAACCTTTAATGGTGATCTTTTCCATTCGTAGATTACTCTCTATGCACTTTCTCTCGAAACAACAGAACAATAGTTTTGAATTCTACAATGTAATAAAGGACGCGGAGATAACAATCAAATTAAGGTCATCATGAATGATGATTGCCATAATGTTCATCCTACCAAAGAAACAACGTTTACCAATGAGATAAGAACACCACACAACTTTCTTCTTGATACTATATATGAATAGCTACCTCGTACGCCTGAATTACACGACGAATCATAGAATCGGAATAATTTCCATCTCTATTCACGTCTGGATGGAATTGCTTCACCTGCACGGCCAAACATCCGGAGCCGAATTGAAAATCGGTACAGAAAACCAAAAATTCTACAATCAACCTAAGTAGCCAATCACTTAATCGCTTCCCAATCAGATTCCGAAAACTCAAATCTAGATACTACAATTCGATTTTTCATCGCAACGAGTAAAACCTACGTACTTTAGCTCGAAAAGCGGCTTTGAGCTCGGATTCGGAGCAGGTCGGGTCGACGCCGAACAATCTGTAAGCATCCATAGCATTGGAGAGAGGCGTATCTTCTCCATCAATTCTTTGCCTGCAAATCGTTGCGAATCGAGACTTTGATGAAGAAGGGAAGGGAATCGAGGATTTTGAAATGGTTCGAGAGCCAACGGTTTTCCGAAATGGAAGAACGGTTGGTGCTGAAGTGGAGAGATACAGCGCCTCCATTGTCGGCGTTCGCGGGAAGTTGATTTTGTTCCAAATGGATAAATGATATATTATTTTTAAAATCCAAATGGCTAAATGATATATTATTTTTTAAAATATTAAAATATATCTCTTCAACTATATCCCTGGATCGTTGGAGAAAGGAACCAAGCATTTCTCAAAGGCATTTTAAAATCGTGAGGCTGACGACGTAACGGACAAAAGCATACAATATCTACATGCAGTAAGGTTGCAATTAAAACTGTGAGACTAACGACGCTTTGTAACGGGCCAATGCGAACAATATCTACTGGTGATGAAGTTAGGTTGTTGTAAATGGTATCAGAGCCTACGATACGGTGCAAGGCACTGGTCGGAGGAGAGCTAGACCCTCTCCATAATAGACACGTTTTAAGACCTTGAGGGGAAGCCCAAAAGAGAAAGTTCGAAGAGAACAATATTGGCTAGCAGGGGACTTGAACTGTTATATATTAATTAGAGTTTATAATATTCGTTTCAATGTACAAAAATTAAGAAAACTAAGATTATGAACTCCTTGAGTTCATAATTTTCATACGAACAGCTTCAATTATTCTAAAAAACAATCGTAAAAGTAAACAAAAAACCTTTGAATTAACAGTTCTACAAACAGTATAGTCAGGAAAAAAGAAAATAGAGGTGGAGGCTAAAGCCCGACTCTGAGGGATTCGCTTAGCTAATCAGTTTGGCATGACCAATAGGGAGAGGAACGAAGCAGCTCGACTGTAAAGGATAGGGAAAGGAACAAAGCAGAGACTATAGGCAGAAATGGAGTGTACATTTCGATTGATACTTCACTGTGTGCTTGCCCTACCACAGAACGGAGACGGGCTCGTCGAAGGAAGGATTAATACATCGAAGCCTGATTGGGATAGATCATTCATACCCTTGTACTTATCCGAGCCTTATCCGAGCAACCTTAATGCTTATCCATACTAGGATTGATCATCTTAATTGCTATAAAATACTCAGACCTTTTAAGTTCAAACCCATTTCAGCATTAGGTGTAGAGAGTACATATCATTTCTACATCTGATTCAATGGCCATAAATTACACAGCATTCACACATTCTGTCAAACAAAAGCAAAGAATCAGGATTTTGCAATCAGCCGAGTGTTGTTCCACAGCCATTGGCGAGCAGAACCTTCGAGCAATGGAGAAACCTGTACAAACCATATATGAGTAAATTTACTTTGAGAAGTGAAGCCGTTCTCATAATCATATTAAAACAGTGAATCCCGAATCCCGAAGCTTCTACAGTGGTATAATTTTGTCCCCTTTGAACTGTATCTAATTTAAATTTGTATAGTTTTTGTAACGGTCCAAGCTCACCGCTAGTAGATATTGTCTTTTTTGGGCTTTTCCTCAAAGTTTTTAAAACATGTATGCTAGAGAATGGTTTACACACACTTATAAAAATGTTTCGTTGTCTTCCCCAACCGATGTGGGATCTCACAATCCACCACCCTCCGGGCCCAGCGTTCTCGTTGGCACTCATTCCCTTCTCTAATCGATGTGGGACTCCCAATCCACCTCCTTTGGGGCCCAACGTCCTTGCTGGCACACCGCCTCATGTCCACCCCCTTTGGGGCTCAGCCTCCTCACTAACACATTGCCTGTTGTCTGGCTCTTATACCATTTGTAATGGTCCAAGCCCAGCGCTAACAGATATTGTCTACTTTAAGATTTCCCTTTCGGGCTTTCCCTCAAAGTTTCTAAAACATATTTGCTAGAGAGAGGTTTGCTAGAGAGAGGTTTTCACACCCTTATAAAGAATGTTTTGTTCTCCTCCCCAACCGATGTGGGATCTCCCAGTTTTACTTTCAATTCTATCCAAAAGGGTTCACACCAATAAAAACAACGTCTTTGATTGGTTCGTGCTTCTTCTTCACCTCTTGAGGGACTACTTGTCATGACTCTGATCTAAATTTGCATAGTTTTACTTTCAATTCTATCCAAAAGGGTTCACAAAAATAAAAACGCCATCTTTGATTGGTTCATGCTCTTCCTCGCCCCTTAACAGACTACTTGTCATGACTCCTAACAAACTTCAGATGTTCTTCCCATTTTTGTAAATTTTGATTTGAAGTAAACAATAATCTTAATCTATGATCATTGTTCTTAAAAATACTTCTAGAAATAGAAACAGAAAACTGTTTTGTACGCTCCAAACAATCGATGTGAAATTAGATAACCAGGATAACAATGGTGGTATGAATGTCAAACCTTTTCCCAGACTTGTGAATGGTAATCATTCAGCCAATTGACTTCCGCAACAGAGAGCAAAGAGATATCAACCATTTTAGTCTGCATAAGAAAACAGGCAAAAAGAAACGTTCAAAACAGGGCACATAGAAGCCTTCAATCAACAGACTGGAGGCAGGCCACATAGAAGCCTTCAATCATTTTAAACTACAATGATGCAAGCGTTTTCTTTTCTTTTTTTGTAAGAAGAGGAACAAATTTGATTGATGAATGAAACAACGGAGTAGAAACTCCGACCACCGAACACCGAACACCGAACACCTAACACCTAGAGGTGAATTATAAGGAAGTTCTCCAATTTGTAATCTACAAAGTAAGACTATAGGCAGAAAAAGGATGTTTGCTTTTACATACATGGCATGAAAGAAAATTTAATCCATAAAACTATCAAAAGTAGAGAAAGGGTGTCTTAAAGTTCGTCCATTCATCTCGCCCCCAATGATGATGTAAGCGTTGTTTTCACTAAGAAACAAAACCATATCGATAAATTACGACTCAAAATCATAAGAGAACAATGAGGCTTCCTTTAATATCTGATTCCAGTGTGTTTTTTTAAACAAGATATGAACAACTTTTAATGTTAAGTCTCAGAATTAATTCAGAAGCCTACAACGCAACGTGCAGTGAATATGGTGAATGCATTATGCCTGCTAACTGCTAAATCCTAGTTAGAGGCAAGACAACAGCATAAATCCAGATACATCGGACAGTCCACGTTCTAATGTTTTTATTATTTTCCCTTAAACATTATACCTTAAAGGCCAAGCATAGATGCTCCTATGTTGATTCCTAGAACAACATTGTCATATTCCCTAGTTGTTTTTTCTCGTCTATTACACATCTGTATAATTTTCATTATTTATGACCAACTTGTTTACCTGAATGGGTACAAACGTGAGTTTTTCAAATCCTAAATATCCAATGCCTCCAAAACAGTTTGGAGTTTTAGCGTCCCTCACGACAAGGAGATTCTGCAGAAGAACACCAAAATCACAAGAAGAACAATGAGAAAAAACATAAGCAGAAAGCTACAAAAGACCATAAGAGTATTTCAATCTCTGTAAAACGAGTGAAGGAACGTAAACTCGAACATTCTGTTTCTCTACAGCAATCCTAGTAAGAAAGATGTTGAAGATGCAAGGATAGTAGAAAAGACTTTGGAGTCTGTGAAGAAAAGGTTGAGCTATTTCACATTTAAAATATAGATAAGTTCCAAGACTACACCCATAAAAGAAATAATGAGACACATCCATCCTTGGTTCAGTTTATGCATCAATTCCAATTAATTAGTCTAGTCTACACACCTAAACATTCTCATTTCATTAGTTTTACCTCAATTCTAATACCAAAAGAGTGGTCTTCGTAGTAGCCTGGTTCGTTGCTAACGATCATTCCATCTTGTAAGCCAGTCATATTCCCAAATCGGAAGCTTATACTTTGGGGTCCCTCGTGTACATTTAGTGCAGCCCCTACACCATGGCCAGTCCCTGAAAGACAAGGGAGAGGGAAAAAATAAAATAAAATACCTAATCTATATTTCTAATCAAGTCAAACTACGTTTAAGTGTTTTGCACACAAGAGCATTAATCAACAGAAAGAAATACCATGCCGATAATCAAGCCCAATTTTCCAGAGAGAGGAACGAGCAAATGCATCCAATACGAAACCAGGGGTATGCTGAGGAAACACTGCTTGATCTAAAGCTATATGGCCCTGCAATTGTTTAATATTTCAGAATGAAGCAAGATATGCCAATGATATCATACACAAAAATGAAACAAGAGGTGGGATGGGAGGTAGGCAGTATAAGATCCATGATAGTTTTAACTTTCCGTGTTTGAACAGCAGAAATGATGAGCATTTTTTAGTTGACTAAGTGAATAAATGTTTTTCAACATCTAACAGAGGTTGTTCGGAAAATAAACAGCCATAATAATAAGTCCTCCATGGAACTCCATTTGGTACAGATGCAATTTCATACATTATTACAGAAATGTGGCAAATGGAGATTTCATACTTGTAGGACTCTCGTAAAGCACTCTTTCTGATAAGTGATTGGTTCACCAAAATGTACTGTACGAGTTATATCGGTTGTTCCATCAACATATTGCGCTCCACTATCCAACAGAAAAAGTTTATTTGCATCCACAACAGAACAATCACTAGGTTCTGGTTTATAGTGTATGATTGCACCATTTGCACCAGAGGCTGAAAAGGCATTACAATAATAAGTAATGAAGCTGGAGAAACTGAGAACAGGACCATTTAATCAAACAACAGATTTGCAAAAAAAAATGCATAAGGAATTTTATATACCACTAATAGTATCGAAACTCGTGTCAACAAAACCATCTTGCTTTTTACGAAATTCCAGAAGTTTGTCAGCAACTTCTACCTCCGTTAGTTTGACACCATTGAGAATTTCCTCCTCCAACCAGGACCAGAATTGAGCAAGAGCAGCAGCATCTCTACACAGAAAATATTGTACCACATATTCACTAAACAAAATAACTTGTTTTAATATATTAAGAGCATTTGCAATATATGGTGCTGAAAAACAAGAATGATTAGCGAATACGCATATCCAAAATGGATAAGTTGTAGGCTAGCTGGTCATTAGTTACCATATCAAAAGTTATTTCAAGTGGCGTGACATATTTATTACAGTATTACACAATCAAGGGCAAAGGAAAATATTGATGACAGAACACAATGTTACCTCAAATGAGAATTCCGCATCCCTTCTAACTCAGCATGATTTTTTACGGCCTTCGCTATTGAAACAGGAGATGACTTATAGACTCCAGTAGGTCCAACATGACTATTTGAGGTCTCAGAAGTCTTATCCTTGCTTTTTCTTTTATTCCCAAGGCGTATAAAGTACTTATCACATGCATTCCTATAAGCATTTGCAATTGCAGCATTGACTGATACTGGGTCCAGCCAGAGATTAGCTCCCTTTTCTGCCAAACTGAAAAGAATTCAGCCATCATTGAAATAAAGGTATGACCATGAAAGAATGTGAGAGTTCATATTTCATTCTTTTTCCATAACCCTAAGAATAACTGATAGTGAAACTTGCTCATGAAAGTTTCAATATATTTCATATTAAAACGTAAGCTCTGTTTAATATAATGCGGATTCAACTTCCATGTAGAAAATGTATCAGAAAGCTAAAATTGTTTAAACTAATATAGAATACTATCCCCATCCTATAACATACTCAGAGGAAAAAGTTTCAATCGACGAAACTTACTTTTCAATTTCCGAAATAATAGAATCATATGGTCTTAACTCAACTCCTGCACTTTTCAAGTGATCCATCACCTCTGATGAGACTTTAGAAGTATCTACAAACAGTTTTGCTCCATCCATTTCAACTATCAGGTATGCATACATAACAGGTGAGTTTGGAACATCACTTCCTCTCTGCAAAGTTATGGAAAAATTACAGAGATATTCTACTGAATACCATTCATTGTTAGTAATAGAAAAAAGACAGAATCACATTCTTCGAGTTCACTAACTTGAAGATAAGAAGATTAAAAAAATTAATGAAGACAGGAGGGATTGTAGATTGCAGTTAAAATTTTGGAGAACCATAACATTTCACCTTTAGTTATTTTAGTAACAACAAGATTATCAAATGAAAATGTCAGGAACAGATAGAACTTTACCAAGTTCAACAGCCAGGCAATTTCATCAAGCATAGATATAATGATTGCAGATGAACCAGCTTCTCCAAGCTCAGACCTCAAAGAAGCCAACTTTGATGCAACATCTAAACCAGCATACTTAAGATCATGCACTCTTATAGGCCCTTTGGGTGGCTTTGGTCTTGATTCTTTCCATATTTCATCGACGAGATTGTAATCATATAGGTAAACGAGCTTATGATTCTTCCTCGAAATGGTCTCCTTCAAATCTTCTGCAGCATCGGCAGAAAACAGAAACTGCTCCCTTCACAAAATCAATAGGTGGCATTAGATAGGAAGAAGTAGACAAAACTAAAACATTACGTGGTTATAGAATTGTGTGAGATCCCACGTCGGTTGGGGAGGAGAACGAAACACCCTTTATAAGGGTGTGAAAACCTTTCCCTAGCAGACACGTTTTAAAAACTTTGAGGGGAAGCCCGAAAGCGAAATCCCAAAGAGAATAATATCTGCTAGCGGTGGGCTTGGGCCGTTACAAATGATATCAGAGCCAGACACCGGGCGATGTACCAGCGAGGAGGTTGTTCCTCGAACGGGGGTAGACACGAGGTGGTGTACCAGTAAGGCCGCTAGGCCCCAAAGGGGGTGGATTTGGTAGGGGTCCCACGTCAATTGGAGAAAGGAACAAGTGTCAGCAAGGACGCTGGGCCCTGAAGGGGGGTGGATTGTGAGATTCCACATCGATTGGGGAGGAGAACAAGACACCCTTTGTAAGGGCGTGGAAACTTTTCCCTAGCAGATGCGTTTTAAAAACCTTGAGGAAAAGCCCGAAAGGGAAAGCCTAAAGAGGACAATATCTGCTAGCGGTGGGCTTGACCGTTACAAATTGAGAAGCAAAATTCAAAACAAAGTTAAATTTGGAAAAGAGGACAGGAGAAAACATCTTAAAAGAATGCACAAGAAAAATTTCTCACAGGATCAATTCCAACTACACCACCAGGAGCTAGAGTATCAGCAAGCCATTCACTTGGGGTCGGCACGCCATGATTTCCAGCTCGCATGAGAATCCAACTGGAGCTTAGCTGCTTCTCTGCCTAATCATCAATAACAGGGAAATTATTCTCACTATCTATACATGGCCAAGTAACAAGAAAGTATGAAAAGTTCAATCTTCAACCTGAAGAAAATACCGTCCATCCGTCCAAAGTGCTGCTTGGTCCTTCGTGACAACAGCAGTTCCAGCACTGCCGGTAAATCCAGATATATAGGCCCTCCTCATGTAACATTCTCCAATGAATTCACTCTGAAAACAGCAACAAAATAGAACGTTCATAAAAATTCAAACAAACATGGGCCAATTGAGTAACACGTCCAAACAAATTTTTCCACAACACAGCATAAGAGGACGGTTAGATGAACACCACTCTCCACAATGGTATGATATTATCCACTTTGAGCATAATCTCTCGTGGCTTTGCTTTGGGCTTCCCCAAGAGGTCTCACACCAATGGAGATAGTATTCTTTGATTATAAATCCATGATCATTCCCTAAATTAGCCGATGTGGGACTTTCATCCAACACCTCCCCTCGAACAAAGTATGCCTCCCCTTAATCGAGGTTCGACTCCTTTTCTTTTCGAGTCCTTTATTCGACATTTGAGGATTCTATTGACATGGCTAAGTTTAGGGCATGGCTTTGATACCAAGTTAAATGAACACCACTTTCCACAATGGTATGATATTGTCCACTTTGAACATAAGCTCTCGTGGCTTTGCTTTGGGCTTCCCCAAAAGGCCTCGCATCATTGGAGATAGTATTCTTTGATTATAAACCTACGATCATCCCCTAAATTAGCCGACGTGGGACTTTCATACAAAACCTCCCCACTTTCATCCAACAAGGACATTGATTAAAAAAAAACAGCAGCATAAAGTCTTAGTTACTCGAATTTCTCCTAATCAAAACAAAAATATCCTCCAGGACAAACGCTGCACAATTGAGCAACACATTCAAATGAATTTATGCTCCAACGATACGGAAAATAACCAGGCGAAGCGAAATTACAAAACCGACCTGGTGAGCGTCCTGCGAGGGGATTACGTAAGCGTCGATATCAATGCCAGGTTTCGAGAACAACTTACGGAGAGCCTGAAGCTTGGAATCGGACTCATCCTTCGAGCGGGTGTTTCTGAGGTCCGAGGAAGGCTTGGCGGTGATGAAGGAGCAGCTTCTGATGGTGGAACGTCGTAGTCGGCGGGAAATGGCGGCGAAAACAGGGGATTGAGGATTGAAATAAGGGGAAATTGGGAAGGTTGAAGAGATGAAACGGAGGTAGAGAGAGCTTGAAGATGAAGAAGAAAAGGATGAGAATGAAAGAGGACGAATCGCTTGCGATGGTAGCGAGTGCATCGTTTGAGAGAGAAGATAAGGTCACTCCGCCCTGCAAGCAACTTCGTCCCGCCGGTCCGGCCGCCAGATTTTATCGATTTTCTTTTTTCTTTTAATTAAATAATTAAATTATATTTTTAATATTTTAATGGAAAATCATAATCGAAAAATCTTAAAATTAATTATAAAATAAAATAAAATATCACTCTAAATATTAAATAAAAGGGTTAAAACTAATAATTTCAAATAAAATAAAATATCGCACTCACAAATCATTCCAAAACAATATAGAATTCGTGATCCGAATGGAAATTCTCGTGTACACGTACACGAGCTTCGTAGCACTCGACATGATTTTTTAGGTGACTATATTCACTTATATAGTAAGGCGGGTCACATTGCTACCCTAATTTGCGTGCGTCATACGTGTGACCCGCACGAGAACCATGTGCACGAGTGTCGTAGCATTTGACATGACTTTTAGGTGACGACATTCACTTATATGATAAGGCAGGTCACGTTGCTACCCTTAAATTACATGCATCGTACGTGTGACCCGAACATAACTTGTGTACCACGTGCACGAGTTTCGCAGTACTCTACATGATTTTTAGGTGACGACATTCACTTATATAGTAAGGCAAGTACATTGCTACCCTAATTTGCGTGCATCGTACGTGTGACCCGCACAAGTACCATGTGCATGAGTTTCGTAGCATTTGACATGATTTTTAGGTGACGACATTCACTTATATGGCAAGGTGGGTCATATTGCTACCCTAATTTGTGTGCATCGTATGTGTGACCCACACAAGTACTATGTGCACAAGTTTCGTAGCATTTGACATGATTTTTAGGTGACGACATTCACTTATATAGTAAGGTGGATCACATTGCTACCCTAATTTGCCTGCATCGTACGTGTGACCTGCACGAGTACCATGTGCACGAGTTTCGTAGCATTTGACATGATTTTTAGGTGATGACATTTACTTATATGGCAAGGCGGGTCACATTGCTACCCCTAAATTGCATGCATCGTACGTGTGACTCGAACGTAACTCGTGTACCATGTGCACGAGTTTCATAGCATTTGACATGTTTTTTAGGTGACGACATTCACATATATAATAGGCGGGTCACATTTCTACCCCTAATTTGTGTGCATCGTACGTGTGACCCGAACAAAACTCGCGTACCACGTACACGAGTTTTTTGGCATTCGCTTGACAATCTTCATTTATATAGTTAGGTATGTCACGTTATTCACATACCTAGTATCCACATTACATCTTACTTGCAGCCTTCAAAACGTTATATTATTAATAAATTAACAGTTGAACCGACAATAATGATTATAAATGCCACAAAAACAAAACTACACAAAATTTATCCGAATTTAGAATAAAAATTATATATAATTTAGAAAATCTCTTTGAAAATATATTTATATTAAGTGACACAGAAAGACGATGAATACAATCTCGACCCCGACCTCAGTTATTTAACAAGGAGAAATCTATATTTGCTCTCTCCTCCATTCCTGGAATTTCACCTGTCGGGAGCGAGTCCCCACAATTTTTCGATACCACAAGTTAAATAGACATCTGTAATTACTATCTTTATAACGTGAGTTTTAAGTTTTAAAAATTATGTTTATTTTGTCATATATTTTAATAATAAAAATAATATTAATATATATATATATAATATTTTTTTTGTCGAATGGACGATTATAGCCCTAATTTTGAACATATTCTCAATCCTACCCCTCATTATCCAAAAGTAATTTGATCAAATAAAGACTAACTAATAATAACCATTCGTCTCTCTCTCTCTCTCTCTAAATGGGGTGCTGTTGCGACGAAGATGACGACGTTGAGATCCTGAGGCATCTTCATCCCTCACCGACCGTTCAGTCTCCGCCGCAGCAGCAGCCTACGCTACCGGATTCTTCCACTGCCGTTCTGTCTCCGATGAACTCTCACTTCTTCGCCCTCTCATGCCGCGACATCCTTCGCCTCATCTTTGAGAAGCTTTCCATCCCCGACTTGGCTCGTTCCAGCTGCGTTTCCCGTCTCTGGAACTCTGTTGCTTCCGATCAGGAAATTGTTTCCGGTGCTTTCAAAGCGCCGTGGAAGGTGAAGGATGTAATAGGGAAGCCGAGCTCCGGGAGCTTCTGGAGAGATAATTGTCTTGGAAAGTTTGCGATCTCTCATCGGATTCTCCGCGGCGACAGCTTGGCTAGTCTTGCCGTTAAGTATTCGGTTCAGGTATGCGCTTCGAAAACTGTTTAATTCATATGAAATTGACTGGAAACAGTAGGACGAGTATAATTTTTGTAGAGTTTTTTAGTTTTGAGGAGTTGCGATCATCAATTTTCTTTGATTGTACTTTCCATCTGGCTGGAGTTTAATCTTGTTCGTCTGAAGAACAAGATTGTCAGACGGTTTTATCGCTGTTCAAACTTCAAAAGTCCTCTTAGTGAGTCCTTTATTTGTTGAAGGGTTTGAACTTCCCAAAAGGCCTCGTACTAATAGAGAGAGTATTTTTTTATTATAAACCAAAGATCATTCCCTAAATTAGCCGATGTGGGACTTTCATCATCCAACACCTCGCCTCGAACAACGTACGCCTCCCCTTAATCGAGGCTTGACTTCTTTTTCTTTTGGAGTCTTAGTCATTTTTTACTATGTCTTCGAGGAGGCTCGACTTCTTTTCTTTTGGAGTCCTTTGTTCGACATTTGAGGATTTACCAATCTATTGGCACGACTAAGTTTTAGGGCATGACTTTGATACCATGTTAGACGAACACAACTCTCCACAATGGTATGATGTTGTTCACTTTGAGCATAAGCTCTCATGGCTTTGCTTTGGGCTTCCCCAAAAGACCTCATACCAGTGGAGAGAGTATTCTTTGATTATAAACCCATGATCATTCTCTAAATTAGCCGATGTGGGACTTTCATCATCTAACACCTCCCCTCGAACAAAGTACACCTCCCCTTAATCGAGGCTTGACTCCTTTTTCTTTTGACCATGCCTTCGAGGAGGCTCGACTCCTTTTCTTTTGGAGTTCTTTGTTCGACATTTGAGGATTTACCAATCTATTGGCATGACTAAGCTTTAGGGCATGGCTCTGATACCATGTTAGACGAACACGACTCTCCACAATGGTATGATGTTGTCCACTTTGAGCATAAGCTCTCATGGGTTTGCTTTGAGCTTCCCCAAAAGGCCTTATACCAATGGAGAGAGTATTCTTTGATTATAAACTCATGATCATTCCCTAAATTAGCCGATGTGGGACTTTCATCATCCAACACCTCCCCTCGAACAAAGTACGCTTCCCCTTAATCGAGGCTCGTCTCCTTTTTCTTTTGGAGTCTTAGTCATTTTTTACTATGCCTTCGAGGAGGCTCAACTCCTTTTCTTTTGGAGTTCTCTGTTCGACATTTGAGGATTTACCAATCTATTGGCACGACTAAGTTTTAGGGCATGACTCTGATACTATGTTAGACGAACACGACTCTCCACAATGGTATGATGTTGTCCACTTTGAGCATAAGCTCTCATGGTTTTGCTTTGGGCTTCCCCAAAAGGCCTCCTACCAATGGAGAGAGTATTATTTGATTATAAACCCATGATCATTCCCTAAATTAGCCGATGTGGAACTTTCATCATCTAACACCTCTCCTCGAACAAAGTACGTCTCCCATTAATCGAGGCTTGACTCCTTCTTTTGGAGTCCTTTGTTCAACATTTGAGGATTTACCAATCTATTGGCACGACTAAGTTTTAGGGCATGACTCTGATACCATGTTAGACGAACACGACTTTCCACAATGGTATGATATTGTCCACTTTGAGAATAAGCTCTCATGGCTTTGCTTTGGACTTCCCCAAAAGGCCTCATACCAATGAAGAGAGTATTCTTTGTTCGTAGTTTTTTTCCCAGCTCCCTAATCCTCGTAAATTGTAAAATATCAATCCAGAAGGATCAAGTATAATCGTTGAAATCAACCTTTTTGATATTGTTCTCGATGGCTATGGACTCTGGTGTAATTTATTTCACAAATATACTGTTATTTTCTTGTATTGATTTCGCAAACATATTGTTCTCGATGGTTATAGACTTTGGTATGTCGATTTCGTAAATGTATTGTTCTTGATGGCTACCGACTTTGGTGTGTCGATTTCGTAAATGTATTGTTCTTGATGGTTACAGACTTTGGTGTGTCGATTTCGTAAATGTATTGTTCTTGATGGTTACAGACTTTGGTGTGTCGATTTCGTAAATGTATTGTTCTTGATGGTTACAGACTTTGGTGTGTTGATTTCGTAAATGTATTGTTCTTGATGGCTACCGACTTTGGTGTGTCGATTTCGTAAATGTATTGTTCTTGATGGTTACAGACTTTGGTGTGTTGATTTCGTAAATGTATTGTTCTTGATGGTTATAGACTTTGGTGTGTCGACTTCATAAATGTATTGTTCTTGATGGTTACAGACTTTGGTGTGTTGATTTCGTTAATGTATTGTTCTCGATGGTTATGGACCTTGTTGTTTTGATCTCGTATATACACTGTTCTCATAGGTCATAGACATAAAACGTCTAAACAACATGATGAGCGACCATGGCATATACTCAAGAGAAAGATTGCTAATCCCCATTGGCAATCCCAACATACTTATAAACAGTATATGCTACATCGAGATGGACGCTATTGCGAAACGGGAAGTTGCAACGTTGTATTTAGATGGCATCCCCACGACCCATCATTTATATGGTAAGGAGACGAATGATCAGGGTATGTCCTCTGTTCAAGTGAAGAAACGAGTACTCCATTCGTTGAGTCGGAGCATGATGGTCGACGACGAAACCGCTCAATATTACTTATCCATTTCCGATGGCGATCCTCGAGCTGCTCTCACAGAATTCGCCGAAGACATCAGGTGGGAGAGGCATATGGGCATGGCCTAGTTTCAGAAATACAGATTGTTGCTCGGAGTAAAGATCACCCGTAAACTAGCGTGGAATACGGTTGCGTTCGACTGGAACGTGTTTATCTTCTCGACCTCGACAAAGAAGGATCAGCCAAAGAATTCATTTTCAGCCCCATTTCACCAATTGGTATGTATATGTTGCTGCTCTATTTCGCAACTGTATGAATCATTACCAGTAATATAACAGTGTGAATATTAGTATTGTTTTCCACTGAGTATGAATGCTTATATGACTTCACCATTATCTCTTCTTACTCTTCATTCATTCATAGTTGTTTTATTTTTAGATTATTGGGAAGTTTCTACCCGACGTCTCGACACAAATCAAGATTGGGTCGTATAGATAAGAAAACTCCATGACATACTTCGATTGAAAAATGAGTCTTTTTGAATAAATCGTGATTTTACTTAGCTTGTCTCTCCACGACTTTCCGGACCAATCAACCAGTGTCCTAGTAAGGAGGAACGAGTAGCTTATGAATTCGATCAAATGAGTCTTTTTGAGTAAACCGATAGCATCAACGACCTGTCTTACAACTGCGTTTATGATAAACATAGTGTCCTTGTAAGGAGGAACGAGTAGCTTATGAGTTCGATGAAGCACATTCAATTGTTTAAGGTTTTCATATCGTTAGCATAATAAAGAATTCAATACGTGTGTTCAAAAGACTCGAGAGTTTGAAAATTTTAAATTTTAGATTTTTAGTTTGAGTTTTAGGTTGAATTATCAATTTATTTCAATTTGGGTGCGTTTAAATAAATGAATAATTACTTTTTAATATTTATGCACATTTTTCTATAATTTTATTTAATTCCAAAATTATTTTTTAAATTATTTATTCTCCAATTTAATTTTTCATACTGAAAAAAAAATCAACATTATGTTTTTTTTAATTAAAATACAAAAAATTAAATCAATAATCCAAACTAACCTCGACCCAATATTTTTATGATTGAGTACGTTATTTAATAATAATTAATCACTTAGTTGGGTTAAACAGTTTACAATCGGAACAATTCAGCTAAGTTTAAATAATGTCTCGAGTCAACCTGATCCAATCCATAAACATTGTTAACTGTGATATAAAAAGACATGACGACTAAAATTTGAATTAAATATAAAAAAAACATTTAAAAAAATCAACGTTCTATAAAATTTTCTACAATATTTTTTTAACGTTAAACATATAATTTCTTATATTTTTATTGGTTATCGAATAATTTTTTTATTGAGTTAAATTACAAGTTTATTGCATAATCTTTATATATTTATTTATTTATATATATTTAATGTAGATGCATGAATTTTTAAATTTATATATAATATATAAAATTTTATTTATATATACTTAATTATTATTATTTAATTCTAATTATCATGAGTAAATAAAAGTCTAAAATTTGAAACTAAATTTGTAATTTATTTATTTAATTTTTTTCTTCCACAAATTTAGGATTATTTATTCTCTTTTTCACCGGAGAATTCAAAATTCGGCGGTCCTCTCATCCGCATTTGAAAAAGCCGCCGGATCTTCATCATCTTCCGGGAGAAACTTCCCCAATGCTCCACCGACAGGCATTTAGAGATGGGCGCTTAAAGAGTTAATCGACGGACAAGCCCGGTATTTCCACCATGTTTAGTCTTGATTTTCTTGCGTTTATACTTCATCTTGAAAGCTGCATTGCGTATCTTATTCTCACCAATTGCTTTAGCGGCTTACAGATAAAATTCAATGGCGCCTCCAAAGAAATCCACGAGTCGAAACAAAAGAATCCTTCATTCAAATAATCCCTCGGCTGAAAAAAGTTATACGAGCTCGCAAAGAAGCAAGAAACGAGTAATGCTATCCCGTCTCTTCTAAGTTCTGAATTTCTGAGAATTTTTTGTTGTCTGACTAGATTTTAGTTCTACTTTTAGTTGTGAATGTAAATTTCTATTGTTTCCGATAGGAATAACGACTCTCCACAATGGTATGATATTGTCAACTTTGAGCATAAGTTCTCATGGCTTTGCTTTGGGCTTCCCAAAAGGCTATGTACCAATGAAAATATATTTCTTACTTATAAACCCATGTTTCATCCTCTAAATTAGCAAGGTGGGACTCCCTTCCAAAAATCCTCAACAGTCCTTCCCTCGAACAAAGTACACTACAAAGCCTTCCTTGAGGCCTATGGAGCCCTCAAACAGCCTTCCCTTAATCGAGTCTCGACTCCTCTGGAGCTCTCAAACAAAGTACACCATTTGTTCGACACTTGAGTCAGTTTTGATTACACCTTCGAGGCTCATAACTTCTTTGTTCGACTTTTGAGGATTCTATTGACATGACTAAGTTAAAGGCATGGCTCTGATACCATGTTAGGAATAACGACTTTCTACAATGGTATGATATTATCCACTTTGAGCATAAGCTCTCATGACTTTGCTTTGGGATTCCCAAAAGGCCTCATACCAATGGAGATTTATTTCTTACTTATAAACTCATGATCATTTTCTAAATTAGCAACGTGGGATTCCCTCCCAACAATCTTCAACAGTCCTTCCCTCGAACAAAGTACACTACAGAGCCTTCCCTGAGGCCTATGGAGCCGTTAAACAACCTCCCCTTAATCGAGGCTCGACTCCTTCTCTAGAGCTCTCAAACAAAGTACACCATTTGTTCGACACTTGAGTCACTTTTAACTACACCTTCGAGGCTCACAACTTGTTTGTTCAACTTTTGAGCATTCTATTGACATGACTAAGTTAAGGGCATGACTCTGATACCATGTTAGGAATAACGACTTTCTACAATGGTATGATATTGTCCACTTTGAGCATAAGCTCTCATGGATTTGCTTTGGGCTTCCCAAAAGGCCTCATCCCAATGGAGATGTATTTCTTACTTATAAACTCATGATCGTTCTCTAAATTAGCCAATGTGGGACTTCCTCCCAACAATCCTCAACGGTTTCTCTCAGTAAGATTAAGTTTGGAGACCAAATACAGAGAAGAATGGAGTAGGCCGTCGATTTCAATTTTGATTTTAGCTTCAGGACACCCCGAGAGTATCTGTCAGTAATTTACACCTTTTAAGGGGTATAAGAAACAGTGCAGATGTTCATACGTTGATATACTACAAAATACCTCATTAAAAAGGCAGGATTTTATCTTATTTTTTTGATGATGGTGGTGCTGGTGTGTGAATTTTTCATTAAAAGCTGTTCAATAAAGTGTTCTTCACCATTTCTATCTATTTCAAGGTTGAAGAATCTCATATCTGTGGTCCTGATTGTTATATTGCCTTTATAACCTTATGACAGAAGAAGAACTTGTGTGAGAAGTTGGGACCTCGATGGAGCACGAGGGAAATTGAGATTTTTTATGAAGCGTACAGAAAATATGGACAAGACTGGAAAAAGGTACGTCTGTTTATAACACTTCAACTAGTTCTCTCAATATTTTGTATTCTGTTGTGCACCATATCTCATAAATCTTATGTTCTTATATATTTTTAATTATTTTCCTCTTTAACGTTTTCAGGTGGCTTCTTCTACGTATGGTAGATCAATTGAGATGGTAGAGGCTCTTTACAATATGAACAGGGTATGCAAAGTCCTTATATGCTTCAAATTCTAACGGTTACCTTTATGATGTGCTTTCTCCCCCTCCGCTGACTACATGAGCAATATTTTAATATTATTTAAGCGCTTAATGTTGCAATGTTGCTCTTTTTTTTTTCCTTTTTCTTTTATATAAGTTGACTTCTTCCTTTTTGTATATGTACATGTCGTGACTATTGGCTTTCTTCTCACTGATAATTGTTGTTTCCTATGCTAATTTCCTCAATGGTTCACAGAATTTTTATAGACTAGTGTTGGTTCATTTAATCAGTAATTATGATTGAATTGCACTGTTTGTCAACTTTGCATTGGTAAGTGCCTAACTTTTGGGTTTTCTTCAATGGAGAGCCTTCAGGCAAAATCACAAGCTTCAGGGGCTTAGATAAGTGTCTCTTTCTTATCTTCTTGTTGATATCTTCATCAAGGGGGCTAAGGGAAAAACGTAATTGAGGATAACTAAATGTGAGGGTAAGGTCTTACTCATTTCTTCTTCGAAAATGACGAGATTTATTCTTGGTATTGAGTAGATGTTTGAAGCTCATGAAGATTATTTTTGTGTTCAATCGTTTTATGGGCTTGGATTCGACAATTCCGTCTTAGTTTGTCTCGAGTTGTGACTTTGGGTTGATTGATGATTTAACAGGATTATTTCTCAAGAGGAGTTTTAAGGTTATTTTAATCAATATGGTTTATACTCCAATGATTGGAACGCAAAAGTTGTTGCCTTGTTGGAGCTTTTTAAATTTGCTTGACTTCCTTAGTTCAAGCTTTAGTTTCCCTTTCTTTTGATGATAGGAAGCATTTTCTCTTTAGGAGGATAAGTTCATTGCTGCCTCCCTCTTCTTAGCAGTTTTCCCTCGTCTTTACTGTCCCATCTCATTGAAATGGAAGCCTATTATCTCTTTATCCTATCCTTTGATCAATTTGAATTTCAAAAGTAATAAGGACTTCCAGGTTGACTTTCCTTTTGCTATTCCTCAATTGGTTCCATTCTAATCTGGTGGATAAAAGAGTTGGGGTTTTAATACATTTTGTTCTTTTACTTTTCCTTAGGACTAGTTGATTGCCTTTCTTCACAATAATTTTCCTTCACTCTTTAAATGGTGAAGTTTTCTTTTAGTAACTGATAAGCTATGCAATACAATTTTCGTTGGTCCTTAATTAGCTGCTTTTGATTTTGTTATGCCTTTGCTTTCCAGGCATATCTTTCCTTGCCGGAGGGGACTGCATCTGTTGTTGGTCTCATAGCGCCGATGACAGATTACTATAATGTTATGGTGAGCGTGTATTATGTTTTTATTGTCATAAACATAAAATCTTTACTGAATGTCTTAATTGGGCCTTGTTTGTGTCTCTTTCACGTCTTTGGTTTGTTGTTTTGATTAAAAAACAGATAGGTTTATGTCTAGTTCCATTAAACAAGTCCAGCTACCAAAGCAATCATGTATATGTAAAGTAAAAGGATGGACGCTTCAAAGTTCCGAAGGGCTGAAGTAATAAGAACCATTTCTTTAAATTTTTTGAGGGACAAGTCCAAAACAATAGATTTCTTCAAGAGTATTAAGACTTGAGAAATTCTCACTGGAGCTAAATAAAAGATAACTCGAAGTTCAAATATTTCTAGAATGGTTTTAAATGTTTTCT